TTTTCCACTCCTGCTAGCGAAAAATTCTTAAGGCGATTAGACATTTCTATCTCCGCATCGATCGCACTCTCTCGATCCCCCATTATAACCCCGAGAAAACCCTAAATCCCACCCCAATTGAACTGCGAAACCCTCTCTATGAATACCTCTCTCAATGGAAAAACCCTCACTCGACGGAATCCCTACCCTCACTCGACGGAATTATACCCCTCACTCGACGGAATCAGACCTCCCACTTGAGAGAATTCTATGTTTTTGGACTGTTGGCTTGATTTCTAATTAGTAATTACATGTGAAATGTGCATAGTTGTACAGAGAACAAAATAAATAGAAGATAAGAATAAAAAAATGGTCAGGAGTTGCAATATATATATCAGAGAACTATATTATAATGTACATTCTCAAAATAATCAAATAAAATGCAGAAGAACACTAAAAAAGTTTTATCATAATTTACAACTCTTATGTAGAAAAGATGAGACCTTTACTAGTCAGCTCTCCTATTTGAACTAAAGTTGGCATATCAATCAAATGCACAAATCAAATAAAATCAAATCATTTTGAATGAGCACTAGATAAAGCAAGAAAAGTTTCTTAATGAGGATAGATTTTACACTTTGTCATATGGTAATTCATTCAGATAAATGAAATACGAAAGGCACTGTAATTAAGAACAACAATTTCTGCAAAAGATCAGTATTATAGTATATGAACCCACCTTTGTCCAATAAAAGTTAGAAAAAGCTTACACAATTCAATTTCACATCAAAAAAATGAGAACTAACCTTATGCATGCCATACTTTTTTCATTTCTTATGGTACAGTTAAGAACTAATGGAGATATCAGAAATATATCTCCATATGGGATACAATTTCATTTTCACCGCGTGTAACTTTAGTTCGTTAATTTAATTATCAGGCTAAATTGAATAAATTTATAATTTGATTATATTGTATCTGACTTACTCCCTATTTTTTTTATATGTGGCTAAGAAATCCATTCCCACATTTCTACACAAACAGAAACTTCCAAATCT